TGCAATTATTAGAACTCTGAAAATTTGTATTTGTAAAGCATTTTGTAAATGATTGAATTTTATTTGACATGTGAAATACATAATCAATCATCTTATATAATACGTTATTACGTAATAGTCATGTTTTACTATAATTATTACATATATAATTAAGGACATGGCCTTAGAGGCTATAATGACTTTACGCAACTCGTTCATCAACCTAAAGTTCTCTTATAATTATTCTCACGGATGCATCCGCAGGACAAATTGAACCTGGTGAACCGAGTGGGAAATAAACTGGATTAACATGGATGCGAGAAGTTAAGCCGTCGGTCACGATATCGTGCAAGTGAGAAAGTCCTAACGTGAAAACGTTACTCGATATTATCCGGAAATAACGACGAATGAAGCACCTCTGAAAATAGGATTACATCGCACCCTCTATATTTTGTATCGAGTAGCGTAATCGATATATTAGCGGATCCTTCTGTATTAATGGCAATCTCTCTCTTTCTTTCTCTCTCTCTCTCTCTCCTTCTCTCTCTTTTTCTCTTTTAATACCTACAAAATATCAGCTTAACATACGGCAACCACTCGAAACGTATGCAAATTATCAAAACGTGTGCTGGCGAGGTACTTGAACTCTCGCGTTTTGCAAGCGACGCGGATTGCACCAGATAACGGTCGGAATAATTGATTACGCGAGAATATAATAAACAGCGCTCTGTTTGCACGCTTTTAATTTAATGCACCATTGTAATATCGAATGATCTAACATAATTCACAGTAAGCTCTATATGAGCATCCTTTCGGTCGCTCGGGGAAGCTAGGAATCAGAAAGTCTTTGACAATGCAACAGATTCAACATAAAGCTGCCAAGGCAGAAAATTACGCATTTGCGAAAATTACAATAATAATCAACTTAACTTGTAATATTTTCGAATAAAAAAGAATTTTATCCACAAATAAATAAAAAAGTTGAAGATAATGTCACGCAGCTCAACTAAAAGATTTTTATATAAAAATTATACTTGCACTTTTAAATTTTGTTTACAGTATAATGGTTGTAAATTAATTTTTAATAAATTTTTAATTAATATATAAAAATTTTTCATTATAAATGTTTTATGAAAAAATATAATACATTTTATTAATTTCTGTGAAGAATGGTTTTTCATCGACCAACACACAACACATACATAACACACAACACATACACACATACACACACACACACACACACACACACACACACACACAAAACACACATTGTTGTTCACGAACTTCGTGGAAGAACGAGACACTTTCAATGAACATTTTCACAAATGACATACTGCATCTAATGGGTTAATTTGTAGTACTTAAATTTCACATTGATGGGATCTGATGTATCCTCGCAAATCATAATTTTCGGTACATGATATGGAGAAAAGACAAATTGTTAGAGAGTATTTTTCGCAAAATGTATGAATATTTCGAAAATATAAAGGTGTGTTTCTGCTCCGAAATGAGTAACCGCGGAGACAAGTAATTGCAATTACTCTACGTTGCTCCAAAGGATAAGTTTTTTCACACAATTTTCAGTGTTGAAATTCGACTAAAAATACAACGCTCAATTGTCTCTTTGTGTTGTCTCTAAATGTTTATCTTGAATGTTTTTTTGGAAAAAATTGCCTCGAGCATTTTATTAATTGAATAACTTTTTACACATAAAATATCCGTGTCGATCACACATATGTATGTATATATATGTATATATATGTATATATATATATATATATACACACA